TAGTAGTAGTAGTAGTAGTAGTAGTAGTAGTAGTAGTAGTAGTAGTACAGTTGAGCAGCAGCAGCAGCAGCAGCAGCAGCTGCAGCAGGAGCAGGAGCAGGAGCAGGAGGAGGAGGAGTAGTAGTAGTAGTAGTAGTAATAGTAGAGGTAGTAGTAGGAGGATGAGGAGGAGGAGTAGTAGTAGGAGTAGGAGTAGGAGTAGGAGTAGTAGGAGTAGTAGTAGTAGTAGTAGTAGGAGTAGGAGTACTGGAGTAGTGGAGTAGCAGGGCTTTTGTATGTGAAAACCTGTACTTTTAAAGGGTTCTTTCGGGCCGCTGGTCAGAGGGTAGCGACTGGTGGTGTAAGGCTGGACGCTCCGCTCGAAACGGCTCGCTCTAGCCGCCCGTTTCACGGCTGGCCAACGCATCCGAATTGACATCATACCTAGATCTTCAGTCCGGCACTTTTACAGGGTCCGGCGCCGGACTTCCAACTCCGGCGTTTTTCTGGATTTGGTCCGGCGCTTTTTCCAAGTCACTTTATGTGGATTCTCAAGGCTTTGCATTCTTTGTGGTCTGCATTTCTTTGAAGGTAAACCCACTACTGATGCAATGATTGTGTTTGCAAAGTTTGCTCGTTTGCCTGTTCCGCTGATTTCTCATTCCATCGGTTTCAGCATGGTTCACACTGGATCAATCAGATCCGTTTAGGTGATCTTCTAAATGAAATCGGATGAAGCCGGTACAGTGCGATGCACATGTTGAAAGACCCAAGTGGGCGTACCTAAGCTGAAAGAGCATAGGCAAAAATGTACTCCCATTGTTTCAGGATGTCGGGGCGCTGGGATATAGTTCTAGCTGCGCAGGTTTGCAGAGCCTGCCGGACAAGTTTTTTGGGCTGTGGAACATGTGTTGTTCAGAATCTCAATGTTTTGCAGAGAGTTGTCAAAAAATGGCACGTCGTAACTCCGGCGTAATTTCCCGTAATTCCGGCGTAATTTCCCGTAACTCCGACGTTTTTTTTTGGACTGAGTCTTCTGCAGGCTTTGGCTTTGACTTTGAATAGTTTTTCAAAGAAGAGTTTTGACAGGAGCCATGAGTTCTGCTACTTTATCGGGGGGCCGTCCTGAGGCAAGCTTTAAAGAAACATTAAGAAGCATAAGAATCATGGAGAGCAACCCACTTTGTAAAAAAACACTTTAGAGACACGGTTGCAGAGAAAGATGAGTTCATTGCCACATGCTCCTTGGTTTCTTCTTGGAAGTATTTGCTTGGGCACAAGTTGCTTATATTTTGTGATGGTTCTGCTCTTAGGCCATTCGGAAGATGGGCGAGGGCAATGGGAACGGGAAGGTTCGAGTGTGCTCCAAAGGAACTACTCGCGGCGCAAAGGCAATTTCCTTGTGTATGATCCAACCTTTTATCATCTCTGTTTTTCAGAATCTTGGATCCGGATGTTTTTTCAGGTCTCCGGCGTTTTTTTCGGAATCCGGCGGAAAATTTTGCCGGATTGAGGTCCGGCACTTTTTTCCGCCCAAAGGAGGATCCAGGTATCATCCGTAAACATCTAACTTGGCCCTAGCCCAATGGAACTGGTGTGATTCGGGTTTGGAGGGGCGCCCTTCACTCCTGTGCTGCGGCTAGGACCGCTGCGTGCTGCGGTGCTTGAAGAGTGGCGGCTCAGGAAGCCTGCCTGGGTGGGATACCCCCTTGGGGCATTGGACCCTTCCATGAGGCTTCGTGTGGGACCTGTCAATGGACCCCAAACAGAGCGAGCATGAAAAAGGAAGACCTGAGTTGAGTTCAACGCATAAAGCAACATAGAACGATACAATATGAGGATTGGGGAACATCTATTACTAGTTTGGGTCAGCCTGTACAAGGGCTATCAGGGGCTGTCTTTCATGACCACCCCCCAAGAGGTTTCTATAGCCATATGCCAATGGACACCCCTTAACCCAAGCGGCTATTATTGGGGGCCTGGTACTGATTTTGTCCATTCGATCCTAGGATAACCCATGAATAATTTTCCATGAAGATCTGGACTTCCAATTGGCCTTTCATTTTCCCAAATCTTTTCAGCCGTTGAACTCACGGTCCACACCCTTTTCGCTTTCATCGTCGCGAATCGTCGCAGGAGCCAATCACTGCCAGTAACCTCACGGTGCAGGAGGCTCCACTGGACCGGGCCCTTCGGAGTTTTCGACGGAGGTGAGGAGGTTTTCGACGGAGTTCATGGTGAAGAGTAAGAGTAGCTCTTTAGAGAGCCACCATGAAGAAGGGGAACAATTTTTTTGAATGTATGCGCGAATAACTATTGGACAATCGCATTGAGAGAGTATTATCGATATAATATCTATATATATTTTTGTTTTCCTTTCAAGTCCAGTCTGACCCTGGAAAACCTGGTCACACTTACCTCCTTAAGTAGTGGTTTTGTATGGCCAACTTGAGTAACATGAGCTCATAATAGGGATTGCTATGTATAATTGCTTTGTTATCAATTACTTCGTTTTCCTGGTCTTGTACGCTTGGCTCCCAGAGCAACTTTGCCGCGAGTGGGAAACTCAGGGGCGCAGAAGATCTACGATCAACCAGTACAAAGTACTTCAAATAGAGCAGGCCTCCCCGACTTTTTCAACAAGTATCAGTACTCAAATCATCTGTAGGGGAGGCCTGTTCAAACAGTCCCTCGCGTTGTGACTTGAACAGGCCTCTCAAACCCAGAAATTTCCTCTTGGAAAAGGCCTCCCTGACCGAAGGAGGGGAGGAGCATCGTGATTGTCATTGTTCTTCTCAACTTTTCCCGAATTGTGTGAGTTTCCTTCTGGGGGTATTTTCCATCCGTAAGCATTACAAGAACATGGTTTTACCCGAATGCGTAGCGAAGGGTTCTCGTTTAACTTTGGGGGTCTGGGGGTAGAGCCTTGTTCGCGACGCGCCGTCTTAGCGTTCGCAACCGTCCGCAAGTGACCGCAGTAGGGCGCTAAGGCCGCCGCCAGTGGGGGATGCTTTTGGAGAGGGTTTGGGGATGGAAACGTGACGTGTCAGATTCGAGAAATAGCGTGGAAACGATTTCACTGCGCAGGCGCAGCGTTTTGTGAGATCCGCAGTTTTCTGCGCAGTTCCATTGTGATTAGCGTTTAGAGTGGTGTTCTTGGGGTGTTGGATGTGGCCGTGCCATTGGGGTTTGCGTTTCAGGGTGTTGCATCGAAGCTCTGTTTTCGTGACAAGTCTCAGCTGAAATGATGGCGATTTTGGTGGATGGGAGTATCCTCAGAACGGGTCGAAACCATTCCAAACGTGTGGTGTGGTGCAAATTCTGCCGAAGCTCACACGATATGATATGGTCACTTTTCGTTGCAGGTGCAGTACTTTGTGCGGGTTTTGAGGTGTGGAAGTTAGATTTTCGTGGCAGGCGCAGGAAATCGTGAAGTTGCGAGGTGTGACGGAGGTGACATCTCGTGGCAGGCGCAGTGCTTTGTGCGCGTTAGACGTGTGGACGCGGAAAGATTCGTGGCAGGCGCAGGGAATCGTGAGGTTGTGAGTTGTGGTAGAGGTGAATGTGGCTGTGACATTGGGATTGGCGCGTGGGCGGGTCCCACAAGAGTGTCCTGTAAGAGTGACCCACAAGAGTGTCCTACAAGAGTGTCTCACAAGAGTGTCCGACAAGAGTGACCCATAAGAGTGACCCGCAAGAGTTTCCTATAAGAGTGTCCCACAAGAGTGTCCTACAAGAGTGTCCCGTAAGAGTGTCCCACAAGAGTGTCCTATAGGAGTGTTCCACAAGAGTGTCCTACAAGAGTGCCCCGTAAGAGTGGCCCACAAGAGTGCCCTACAAGAGTGTCCCACAAGAGTGTCCCGCAAGAGTGTCCCACAAGAGTTTCGAGTGTCCCAAAAGAGTGCCCCGCAAGAGATTCCTACAAGAGTGACCCACAAGAGTGTCCTACAAGAGTGTCCCACAAGAGTTTCCTACAAGAGTTGTCCCACAAGAGTATCCCAGAAGAGTGTCCCACAAGAGTGTCCCGTAAGAGTGTCCCACAACAGTTTCCTACAAGAGTGACCCACAAGAGTGTCCCACAAGAGTGTCCTACAAGAGTGTCATTAGGACATATGTAGCTTTTCGAACGTGTTTGCATTCGGGTTCGTGGGCTCCATCTTGTTTACGTTCTTGTGCAACATCCTCTGTTCTTTATTTATCTGCTCGATCGACGCGATCGACGTATTTCCTTGTAGCCAATTGGTGTCTATCCTGTTTGCCCCGCTTCAGCCCAAAGTTGTGAAGAATCTACCAGGATCTAGTTTACACGCCTCCGCCTCCACCTGTTCTAAAGTCCGCTTCTTCCCCACACAGCCCACACACTCATGCACCTTCCCCTCTCCCATGTCGCAAAAACATCTCTCGACTGCGCTTCTCAGTCAGTACTCGCGTTCTTCTGCGTATGCGCGTGATTCCTCGTGGTTGCTGAGGCTGGGATTGGACATGCACGATGAACACTGCGGCGGCATCGTGCTCGTACACAATGGGCAGCCCCGGCCAGGAGTTGTTCGGAGCGCCATGCTCGAGCGAGCGAGCCACGCCAGCGAGGTGGTACAGTATTGTTTTGCTTTAGTGTCCCTTTCCGAAAGCATGGGAGGCAATGTGAGGGATGGAAGGAACACAAATAGGATCAAATAGGCCAAGAGGTGATGGGTTGAGGGATATTGAGGGTATAGTATAGTTCACACAAATCTCAGTTGTGGCTTTTGGCCGAACTTTGGGGTAAATTGGTTTCAGAAACTATGTAACCATGATTATTTCAGGGTTGGTGGTAGACCTGCTCAAAGGTAGAATGTGCACACTTGTTTTGCAATACGTTTGGTTTGGTTGTTACTCCAGTGGCTGATTTGTCAGCCTCAACTTGAGACACCTTGATGATCCTTGATGTGTTGTTCCTCTTTTCGCCTGAAGGGATTGACGTTTGGACTTGGCTCCGATATTTTTTGTTGAGGCCGTGAGGTTGGGAGATGAGTCTGCGAAACGCACGCCACAGTGAGCGTGGACGGTTTTCCGGTTTCTTTGCAATCGATTCTTTTGGGGACGGCTTCTTCACACTGACTTGGACGATTGAGCGGAGGAACGCATTGGGGCTTTGGTGAGGGGAACAGAGAAGAGCAAACCATGGATTGTGATCTTCCAAGAACTGAGAAGCAGGAACATAATTATGGATTCAGTTCTGATTCTATTTTGTGAAGGAGTATCGACAATCCCAACGTGTCCCAACTAAAAACAGGAACTTGCCAAGTGGAGCGTGGAAATTTTGCAGCTCTTTTCGACAAAGTTAAGTGTTTCAAGGAACTTTCATGTCAACTTATATTTCAGAAAGGACAACAACAACAACACCAGCAACGACAACAACAACAGCATTCCCATGGCAGAAGTAAGTATTCCTTGCAGTCCAGGGCAGACTTTGCGAGACTCTGGAGTCAATGATGGTGATCAGGTCGGCGGAGAAGTTGTGGAGAAGTCGTTGGTGTTTCTGCGTTTTCGACCTCCCAGTTTCCGGGTTGGGCAGAGCTTTGCGGGTGATTTGCTCTTCTGCCGAACTAGTGACTGCCTGGCATGAGGAAGATGTTGAAATTTTCTCGGCTCCTGAATTCAGTACATCCAAGCATAGATTCACTGGACAATGGGAGGCAGAAATATTTGTGTACCGATCTTCCTGTTCACGCCTTTGCAAGACCCACGCGAGTATAGTTGACCAGCTGACGAGCAGCTGACACCCTTGATTGACTTGTATTTCAAGGCAATGCAAAGCTGCAGGATCTAATATGACCTTCAAACGGGGCAAATCCTCCCCTCCCCTCCGTGTTCGCCGCGTATGGGCGACGCAAGCTTTTTGGATTTATAAGCCAGCGCCATCCTAAATGGATATTTCAAATGTAAATGGATATTT